AGATTAGCATAAGGGAAACATACTGAAAAATCAGTAAGCTCTTAAAGGAATTTTATCTTGTGGCTTTAAAAATTTATACTCATTTTGTGTTCAGCTTGTTATTAATTCAGAATTTACAGAACTAATCCAGATTTTCAGACTCCTTCATTAAATTATATACTAAAGAATAAAATAGTTCAAATTTTAGAGCTTATATAAAATTATAAAATGGTAATGACTGGTAAATGAGAGAGTAAATACGTGTGAGTACACTGTTAACAATCCATAGTTGGTAGGAGACCCTTCAAAGTCAATTGCTCGCCTTGTGGACTGGCCCATCTTTAATGGTAACTGTCCCGTGTTGGTTTGTTATAAAGAACACTTGCAGCCATCGGTACATTTTGTCTTTAGCATCACTTTCCTTTTTTTTTTTCACAGAACTAACTTTACAAAATTTGCCTTAGTGAACTCCTTATGTTGTAAATCATTCAGATTTCTGTTGAAATCTCTGAATGAAAATGAATGGAGACCATTCATTTAACCTTACTTGCTTCACGTTTTATCCACAGTAGCTGTAGAAGTATTCTGACTTCAGTCAGAAAGTGGCATTGAGTACAAAGGGACTTGATGAATAAGTTTGCCTTTATCTTTTACACTAGTATTCCATCCAAGTATTTGGGTAAAATCCCAGTCATATACACAGATGCACATCTGGGATCTTCATGAATAGAGTGCAGATGGAAGTGAAATGCTCTTTTTTCCTCACTTTTCTGGGCTCCATCTTTCTGGTTTTGTACCTCGGTTACCCTTTTGCATAGTGGGAGTAAGGATTCCAACTTCCTTTTGAATTGCTTTCAGAAATACCAGTGAAAACATAAAGAAGACGTTACTATTACTACACTCATGCCATTTCCATGGATCTATTGCATTACAATTCCTCTGCAACCTCTTTGTGCCTGTTGAGAGTTATCTTGGTAGTGCACATGTGTACTCTGCATGGCCTCTTTGTCCAGGATCTCCACATGCAGCCTGATCATCTAATGTAAATGCTGGGGATGTTTTCTTGCCATACCCATGGAGTTTCCCCAGAGAAAATGGAAACGTGAGGAATTATGCAGCAATAATATTGTAATTGGAGCTGGATGAGTTTGGTATTAGTCTTGGTCTTTTAGGATAAAAGTTCTGGTTTAAGAGAATGAGTGTGGTTCCTACCAGCTAAAATCCTTTCTTTATGGTTTAGTTGAGAGTATAATTTATTTGGCAATATAATCTTATATTTGAGTTTTGCTGTAGACATAGGCATGTATCTAAATTAATTTTAAAAAGAAATGAAAGATGATTAATACTTGAGATAATTGAAACTTGCTTCTAAATGGATTTCCCTGGAAAATTTCTCATGAGATTTTTCTAATTACATTTGTGCCAAAATATAGTAAATAAAAAATAAATCCCCATTTTGTTATTTTCAGAAATGACAGGAGAAAAGTGTACTTGATAGTCATATCAGGAGCAATAACCTGATGAGATTTTTCTTTATTTAATAACAAATTACCTACTGTGTGCATGTTTAATGATAATGATAGCTTCTAGTCTTACAAGCAAATGTGAGGACCATTACTCTGTAGCCAAACAGAGTGGATCTTAGCAGGTAATTTCCTCTTAATTGTGTAATGGTGAAGAAGAACATCAGGACAAAAGTTGTATAATCATCTGTTATGCTATGATCTCTGAAATTTCTCATGTTTTCAAGGATTTTCACATGTATAATGTGCATGGTCGTGTAAAATACTTTTAACAATTAACATGGTTTTCATAAATTGCTCCACGGAACACCAGAGCACATCTGGTAGACCCAGTTCTGCAGGCCTGCCAGTGGCACAGGAACACTGGACTTGATATTACACCCAGCCTGGGCCAGGCTGCATGACATGATACAGTGAATATATTGTCAAGAACAGCAAAGCTCTTTTATACCACAGTATTGAATACAGATGAAAATTACCAGTTCTCTATTAATGAAACTGTTGGCTTTGGATGTTTTGTCTGTCTAAATGCAATGTAAAGATCAAAACCAAGTCTGAGGTCCAGGCTCAGAGGAGTTTATCAACCGCAGTCATACCAACAGTAGGACCTGAGTTTCGATGTGCTTCTCTGATGAATCAGTAGATTTTTGTGAAGTGTCCCAGCTGCCTACATATCCAGGTAACACAGATAAATAGTTATTCAGAAATCAGTGTGCAAAATAAATACATATATATACACACACAACACACACATGCACAAAAAACCTTTCTTTGCTCTAAACACATTGTTGGATGCTTTTTCTTCTATTTAGCACGTAGTTTTTACTCTTAGTGGCTTCCAGTGCTTTAGAAAACTGCTACTTTGTCACCTTTTAAACTTTGAAAACACACAAATTACTATTGAAATAATATCAATACTGGTGAAGGGGCACTTGCTGAGAATGAAAGTAGTCTGTTAAAATTCAGGTGTCTCCCAGCCATCCTCTGTAGCCTGTGGGTGGTGCAGCCCATCTCAGGGGCTTTAGAGAGGCAGATATAACCTCCCAAGAGGTTAGGTGACACTAGTCAGTATCTGCCCCTCTGAAGTCGGATGTGTGCCAGGCACCATCCTGCTGATACCAGAGACGTTCCTCCAGGGGTGTGTGGGAACGTGGTTGTTGCAGCAGAGCCAGTGCCTCACCACCCTCTGAGTGAAGAACTTCCTCCTAACCTAGATCTCCCCTCTTAGTTTAAAGCCATTCCCCCTTGTCCTGTCATTACCTGCCCAAGCAAAAAGTCACGCTCCACCTTTTTTATAAGTCCTCTTCAGGTATTGAGAAGCTGCAATGAGGATACCCCGGAGCCTTCTCTTCTTCAGCCTGAACACCCCAACTCCCTCAGCCTGCCTTTACAGCAGAAGTGCTACAGCCCTCTGATCCATCCTTGTGCCTTCCTCTGACCTGCTCAAGAAGGGGAATAGTGTGACTGTGGAGATCCCAGGGACAAGACTTGTCACCTGGTTTGGTTTTTTAGGGACTTGGTAGGTCACTCAAGGCTGCACAGGCTGCCAGAGCATTCCTGTCTCTCCTAGGTGTCAGCCAGCTGCCTTGTAAGCTGTACTTACAGGCACGGTTATTTTGTGTGCTAAAGGTCCTTGGGAAGGTGACAGCTGGAATGAGATCGCTGGAAATGTGATGGATACATCAAGAAACTTCATTGTTCAGAATAAGTGTTAATTATTCAGACATCTAGTGTTAAGATAGTTAAATCAGGTAAATAGCCTCCTATTAGCAAACATTGAATTACCGATCTGAAAAACTCATCTATTATACCCTTCTGGCAATGCATCTTCTGATTCCCTTTTTAATTTTGGTGTTCTTGAGTGTGTATGGATGCAGACAGTTTGTGAGACATGCACAGATGCACAGGCTGCCTGTGCTTGCTCTTGTCATTAAAAATGGGGATTGAACAGTTTGTTCAGGCTACTTAAAATCCATTTGCAGAAGAGCTTTTTCTGTTACCATTGCTAGGACAAATGCCTTCTCCTTAATTGTTTTCTGAGGCTGTGCTTAGAACTAGCAGTGATGGCTAATGGTGAGAGGCAGAAGTCCTCTGTTCGAGGTGGCAGGGGCCGCAGTGTCCTAGCTGTTGGAGGTGAGAATTTGGAGAGGTTCTTCGACACTCAGCTTTGGTGAATCAAGTCAAACCTACAGATATTGCTGGTTGCCGTGGACATGAGACAGTCCGTTCAGGCTGTGGCGGGTTTACCCAAGCAACCTGGTGCTCTTCGCATTTTGTCTCCTCTCAAAAAAAAGTTAGTGAATGTCATGTAGGCTGGAGTGTCCTGTGTTCACAACTGTAGTCTGATTTTTCAGAAATACAACGTGTGAATCTTCCCACCTTCAGTAACAAGACTCCAACTTTCAGGACAAGCTAAATAGTGTTTACTTTTTTAAAATATTCAGAGTTTCCTGAGCTAGCACAAAAGGAGACTTTTAAATTCAGCTGTCAAAATACTGTTGAAAAGTATGTTAACTAACTTTAAGTGGTGTCCTTCTTCTGTTATTACAAAAATAAATCATCAATCAGATCACCACTTCTGTCTATATGTATATATCTTCTTCAACCTAAAGATTTTATTTTTTTTAGTTTGCTTCTTTCCAAACCTCTGATGATTTTTCTTAGAGGATCTGTCAAATGTTTCTAAGATATTTTGTAGGAGGCATGTTGTACTGGGATGTTAACTTCCCCTGCAGCAGCCCATACAGTGCTGTGCTCTGCACTTGTAGCTGGAACAGCAGTGGGATCACACCAGTGTTGTGTCTGCTGCTGAGCAGTGCTGGCACAGCATCAGGACTCTCTCTAACCCTCCTAGGGGGTGGGCAAAAAAGTGAGAAAAGAAACATCACCAGGGCAGCTGACCTAAACCAACCAAAGGGATATTCCATACCATGTGATGTCACACTCAGCAATGAAAGGTGGAAACTGGAAGAAGAGGGGAGGGGTGGGCTCTCATTGTGAAAACATCGGTCCTCCCAAACACTGGCTACATGTGTTGAGGCCCTGCTTCAAGGACATGGTCAAGCATCACTCATTTATGGGAAGTAGAGAGCAATTTCTTTCCTCTGCACTTCCACATAGCCTTTACTTGTTTTGTTTGTTTCCCTTTTCCCCTTTCCCTTTTTTCCCTTTAGTTAAATTGCTTAATTAATAATAATCTTTCTTTAATAATTATTTTTCTCCTTTAATTAAATTATCCTTATCTCAACCCGTGAGTTGTTCTTTCCTTCACTTCTTCCCCTCCTCTTCTTAGGAGGGGGAGTGAGAGAGTGGTTGTGGTGTTCAGCTGCCTAGCAAGGTAAAACCACCACAGATGCTCAGTAACAATCCCAGTTCTGAGGAAGACAAGCTGCAAGTTCTGATGGTCTGCTGAGAGATGTTGCATTTTAAATCTTTAATAACGTAAAGAGATGGGTAAAAAGAAAATAATATGACATTTGCTTTATTTCTGACTTCCAGGGCACACCAGCAAGTCGAGTCCGATACAAAGTAGATGTCGTCCAGTTCCCTTACAGTGCCAGCATTTTTGATGTGGAGGAGACTTCAGGACGTGTAGTAACTCGGGTAAACCTAAATGAAGAGCCAAGTACGGTGTTTAAGGTAAAACCCATATGTCTGTGTATTATCAGTAAAAATGCAAGTAACATTTAGTAGCACTCCTACATGTGTTTCTCTCTTATGCTTTATATTTCATAGAAAGATGTGAAATTCTTATTTTGTTTGTTTCTTAGTTTCTTAATTTCTTCTTGTTACATGTTTCCTGGCCTTTTTCATGTCAGAAAGATCTTGCATGGATATGATAGCTACTCTTATGCTGGGGGAAAAAATGGGAAGCAGCTGAAGGAAACCTGCTTTTGGAAGTTAACATAGCTAATGTTTTAGTTTTCAACAGAGCTGTCAGCATAGCAATTTTAGGGAAAAAAAAAAAAAGTAAGGATGGTAATATATCTTGTAGAGAAAGTTACTGCACAGTTTGGGTAGCTGGGGACTTGCGTTCACAAGTGCTGTAATGTGAAAACACGAGCTTTAAGGAGACAAATTACTGTTGTGTTGTTACTGGTACTGAAGAGTCTCAAGTGTAGTTAATCTGGAATAAGGTATGATTTCAATCAAAATCAAAGAAACAGGTCTCCCTTCTAAAATCCATGAATGGAGGAGGTAGTTGAAAGTTGGAGCTTGTCAGTAAACAAATTTTTTTAAAAAGTGTCTTACAATACATGGAGGTTTATACACGTATGTAATTTTCCTACATGGAAGATGCCAACCATGTGTCTTCATTCAGGTGTGTTTCGTTTCTTCTTGCCTTTCAGTTATTTTTTTCTGAATTGAGGGTCAAAAAGAGGTTTATTTTCATACTTTTCAGTTATAAGGAAGTAAAGTTGTCCACCATTTTCCACTTTTTGAGAGTCATGTCAACCAGTATGATGAGCTTGAGTAGCATTGAAATACTATCTCTTTTAGGAACTTGGGGCACTGCTAATTTATTTCCAATTTCTAATTAATGTAGTGAAACTCAGGGATGGGGGGGGGGGGAGAAGAGAATTATTTCTTTATTAACCAGAGTGAAGCTTTTCAAAGTAATTCCTTTGTGTGGCTGTTTTCTGAGGCTCTGATACGTTACATGCTGGTGACAGGCACATGGACATGGCATGTTTCTATATGAAAACTGCTCTGTAGTAGGGCAGACCAATGGTAAATTTAGCAGTGCTGCATTTCAGAAAATACGGATGCTTAGTAAAGGAACAGAGAAAAGAAGACATAAACTTCTTCTGCTATGACTTCAGAAATCACAGATGCGGGGACTTCCTGAGTTGGTGTTTGCTTGCAGATCTCCTGAAATAAGGACAAATGTAGGGAAAGAAAAACCTAGCAAACTGTCCGTTAGTCCATCCTCAGTGGGCTGGTCTCATCCTTTTGCTGAATTTCATCTGAAAGCTCAAAGCAGGTGAATTTATTTGTCCCAGCAGAGAAGCGTAGATAAATAGACTGAGTAAATAATAATTTGAATAACCAAAGATTAGATACACAAGAGATTTATAAAGGCTGCCTTTGGTGAAGATCTGGTTTTGTCCATGATTTAGCATCTTCAGGATCTCTTGTCAGAGTTCTTTTGTTGTCAATTGGGGATAGAACATGTTTCTTTCATTGTTGTTTTGTTATTTGACCTCAGTTTTAAATATGAATGTCTGTCAGCACCAGAGTATTACCCAGCACTTTTTTCATTTGTTTTTGGGGGGAGTTGCAGGTATTTTTCTGATAATAAGTGCTCTGGTGCTTAAATGTAGAGCTGAACTATACCTTTTAAAAAGTTATAATGGATTCTGGAGCTTTGGGTAAGGACAGTCTTTGATAAGATGCGAAGGGAATCCCATGAAAAATATAAGTTATATTCTTGAAACCACCAGCATTTTTTGGAGATGTATTTGTAGAAAGCAATGGAATTACGGTTCTATTTTACTGTGTTTCTGTAAATTTTCTGGCATATGGTTTGACCTGCAGATGGCTGTCACCCTTTTCCTCTGCTTTGTTCTTATACTTTTCTTTCTTTTCTTTCACTGCAAATCATACAAAAGTATGATGAAAATGAAAAGAATGAAAAGAAAATTAAAAGAAAATCTCATCTGACTTGTTAGACCCTGAAAATACAAAAAGCACTATTGGAAGTCAACATAATGCTCTCACCTCTACTAAAAATGATTTTCTGTACTACTTACAGCTAGTGGTCATTGCATATGATGATGGAGATCCTGTGAAGTCCAACACCACTACCGTAGAAATTGCTGTACTGCAGCCTTCAGTAATTCCTCGATTTACGCAGGATGAATACAGGTAAAGCATTTATGCATTCACATAACAACTGTTATTTTTTAAGTTGAAATAAATTCCTCTTTGAATGCCATTCTGATGCATGTTGGTTATGAAAAGACAGTGTGGAAGCACTTCCTCTGCAAATACCTCAACTTCTCTTCCTTCCGTTGTTCGCTTTGACACACAGAAGGAAATAAGTCACAAAAATAAGGTTTGAACCAGTGCACCAAAAATGTTATGTGCTTAGAGCTGATAACATATTTACTGATGTTAACACTTCTTTAGGAAACAGAATTTGATGCTACTGTAAGGAAAGAGACAACGCTTGAGTTCCCCAGAAGCACAACTGTGTGAAATTGCTTGCAGGACTTTTTTGCAGCAGTCCAATCTGACAAAGCAGCAGAATATTTCAGAGTTGCTTCTTCCTCTTAACCACATTTTTTTTTGGCAGCCAGCCATTCCCTGATCCTACCAGATAGTGCTGCAATTTTACCATCCTAATAGGTTGTCTCCAACTGAAAAGTTGAGGGATGTGGTTGAGAACAGTGAGGAGAGATTTGTTATAATTTCTCCTCTTAGAAGCTGTTGAAAATGTCAGTTGTGTGGATAAACAAAGTTTTATGCATTGAAGGTATAGCTGGGATCAACGGGGCTTCAGATTGTTTTCTTCAGCCAGTTTGAGCATGTTTCGGTCCTATACACCATTCATGTTGGACAAGAGGGGAATTCAGGGTTTAGGCCTTTGACATTAGGAGCGCAGGTGATTATTTACTACTACCCAGTCTTGATTTGATAAAAGTTTACACTGATAATTTAAAATAAATGAACCCTATTTTCTTAAAATAAATAAATAAGTAATGGTGCTCAGGCTGATGAGTTTGTTAATTTTTATTTCAGTGAAAATGTTCATAAACAGTTTCTGAAATTTGTATGATGATATGAAATAATGGGATCAGTGTGCACAGCCTCCATGTATCAGGAAATTATAACCTTGCTGCAGTATGTGCTCTTGCATCAAATGTAGCATTATAATCAGTATCAGAATATAAATGGGTTTTGTGCATCTCGTTTCAAAACCGAGTACTGTAGGAAATCAGTAAGCAGAAGTAAAACGTAGTGTTACTGGCTTCACTAGACCCTAATGAAAGGTCATGCTCTGCTCTTTTAATGGATTTAGACTAAAATTCACAATGTGCATTGTTTTTCCTCATGATTAGAGTATTAAATTTTTGAAGCAGTCCCATAAAGGTAATGGAAGATAGAGTATTAAAGCTTTGAAGAAACTGAAAAATAGCAAAATACTGCCAGTACTGTACTAATTTTGCATTTAATATTGAAACAGAGGTGTGAAATCTGAAAGAGTAGTGCAAAATGATAAACTTAGTATCTAGTGATAGCAGAAAAGATAATTCTTTGCTGAAGGATTTTAAGAGTATATTCCTGCCACTTCCTATATTATTTTGTTGAATATCTTCAAATGTATGAAGTGTAGTTAGGTAATGTAACGAAAGATAGAACTTTAAATAAAAATGTTTCCACTTCTTTCTGTAATTTTGGATACCGTGCGAGTGCCTGAATTCTGCCATCTGAACAGTGTTTAAAGCTTTTCTGTAACAGTTTTCTGTAACAGTCTTCTGTGTTACTGTGTTCATGAAAAATACAAACAGTTCCTATGTGTGTAGCTGTGAAAAAAAAATGCTCTGGGATGAAGATTTGAGTCATTTGTGAGTATTGAAAATCCCCAAACTGCACCAATGTTCAAGTGTCTCGCAATACCAATAGCTGTTAATGAACCTCATCCATAGGATAGCTGCTGTTGGGTGATGTTTGCCATGCATAGGCTGTAACAATGGTGTCAGCATCAGGAAAGCGTTGCAAATCTTTAAAGGAGACTCTCCTGTGGTATTTCTTGTAGTGTGTTGCTTGTGAAGTAAAAGCGTATTTATAAAAGAGGGCAAGTAGGAGATAATATCTGGAGCTGATAACCAGGATTGTTCTAATGATAAATACTAACTGTGAGGAGAGGGAAGGAGGAAAAGGTGGAAAGCTGCAGGGTACAGCATGATGTCCTGTTACCCAATTCAGGAAGTATGGAGCAAGTTAATGAGAGGGAGAAAAGGAAGAAACCCTTTTATTTAGGATTGAGAAAGCTAGTCCAGTAGTTGTGTTTAACAAGAGAGCATGAAATACGATCCAGAAGCCTTTCCAAGACATTCTAGGTTTTGGGTAAACTACAGAAGCTATTTCACCCAGCCTCACGATCCAGCCTGCAACAGCTAAAGCGACTCTTCACTACTAGGTGCACACTTAGTAATGCAATTTGTTGACCTTTATAACCTTCTTTTATAACTTTCTCAGATAACCTTCACCCTTAAAGAGCTTGTCCTTGAATATTACCTAGTGAGAAATGTTACCTGGAGCAGCGTGGTGTGCTCCATGATGTCCATTGATTTGGGGAGGCTATAAAGTAGCTGCAATGTTAGACCAGTGGGGCAGAGTCCAGCATGTGAGCACAGCCCTAGGGGTACTCAGAACATGGCATGGTCCCTCTGCAGTGTAGAAGAGTTACCAGTGCAGCTCACACTGTAAGCTGTAAGCTGTAAACAAATCCATCCAAGTGGATTTGTTTGCACAATTGTGGGGAGAGACCCTAAACTGCAGGACTGCAGGCAGAGCTTACATTGCCTTCGGCAGAAGGAATGGAGCACACATTTCCCAAAGCTACCGTGAGCTTCAGTGATATCCTAGGAGATGGGACCTTTATTTCCCTACAATGAAGGAAGCCTGAAGAAAAGTTGTTCATATCCCCAAAATGCCCTTAGATGACAACTGAATAACCCCTCTTATCTTCTCCTCACGAATTCATAGGATTAGCTGAATAGCCTGGTTTCTCTTTCCAAAGAAATAGCCTTACTCCATTCTTGGTAATTTTTTTTTGAGATGCACACCATTGCAAAAGCCTCTCAAAATCTTTTGAGGGTGGCAGAAGCACTTGCTCATTTTCTTCAGTGTGAGAAAGTGAATGAAAGCAACCCCAAAACCTTCTGATTCAGTTCTGAGATTCTCTGACATTTTGGAGCAGGACTGGTTTCAGTCCCTAAGGTTTTCAGGGATTGTCAGCCTGCAAACTGCATTTCTCTTTGGTTTCTAGACAGTGATGCAAGCTGAAACTGGCAGGTTTCAAAAAGCCTTATTTTTTAGTTGACTTACTATATCTTTAGGGTAAACGTCAGCTCAGAGTAATGGTGCTTGTCTGCAAAATGATTAACTTTTGGATGTGGATACTAGAATTTTGAAGGGATTGAAAACTAGTGGTTTTGCAGTGGATTAGTATTGATCTTTGCTTGCGTAATTGCCATAATCTGGATGATTCCAACAGCATTTTTCCTAGCTCTTTTAAAAACTTCATTTCTGTGTATTTAGAAGAAGGTTACAGTCGAGCAGTTTTACAGAATAAAGCTGCCTGTGCAGTTGCAGGATGTATTACAAGTCAGAAATAAATGCAGAGACATAGGAGAAGAGGGGACCAGATGGCATGATCACAAAGGCATAGCAGCATTAGGCAGATAGGGAGATGGAAGTGCAACCGTGCCTTGAGCAGTTGCTCTGGCAGCCCTGCAGCAGCGCATTAGGGTTTCTGACTTGAGCCCTGTTCATCCTAAGGAAGGGTTTGATTGATTGTTTTCCATGTCTTAAAGTGACTTCCACAGGAGGCAGCAGCCGAGTAATAGGCTTGCCTTTTATCCACTGGCTTTTCCACTGCATTATTCCATAATTTGGAGCAAATTAACTAGCCCCACTTTTTCCCATCCACCTTTTTTCTTTGGATTGTAAATTGTACTGGAGACTTCCAGGTGTTGTAGTGCAACGCATATAAAACAACAGCAAAGAGAAGTCAAGATCCTGGAGAATCCAAAAATAAAATTTTGTCCTACTGCTTGCTGCACATGGCTGTCCTCTGCAGGCACCACTGCACCACAACTCCCACAGCTCCCTCGTCTGCATCCATAAGTGCCAGCCTGTCTTCGTGGTACCTCAACTGGTACTGCAGGCTGTGCTCCTGGCTGGGGTGCTTATGCTGAAGCTGCAGGGTTTAACGGCATTAGGAACGTGGATCCTCCTGTACTCAGATCCTTGTCTGCCCTTGTCTTGGTTATTAGGACTTGGAGAAAGCTGATGGCAGCACTGCCTGTAAAGTGTTTTGAAAACCAAGCCTTGTTTTCTAGTTCAGCAAAAACACAAAGAATGGAGAGGCAAAAATGAAAAAGCATCGAAGGCGTACAACATGCAGACATTTATTTCTGTGCGGATAGATCACCTCTGAGCCCACTTGACCTCTTGCTGCTGAGCAAGGACACCGTGCTGCTGATGCTCTTGTCGCTGCGCCTCCCCGCAGGCAGCTGGCAGTCGGATTCAGCTGGTTCTTCAGAGCGCTGAGAGCAGAGGGAGGCACAGCCGCCGGAGTCTGCACGTGGGATGCTGGGCAGCAGTGTGGGGACATGGCCTGACCTGCCACTCGCTCTGCCTCTCGCAGCCAGAGTGAGCCAGGGCCTGGGGGAGTCGGGCATGGCGAGGGGATGAAGGAGGGGACGCCAGCACACGAGGCTTTCTGCAGCGCTGCCCGAAATGGCTGTGGCCATTTGCAGTCTCTTAGAGTTTTTAATGCTGACTTTGATATCATTCTGCTTAGTGCTGGTGAAACAGCCACGTCTTGGGTAATAAATCACGTACCTGGGAAAATGAATTGAGCTGTTTTGAGCTCTCCTTTTCCAAGCTATTTCTCTTGTCCTGACAGTTCCATTGCAGATCACCTCTTGACTGAACCCTAAAACAGGTAATTGATCCAGAAGTTTCCATTTCTTCCAAACAGGTAATGGCAGTACTTTGATTCCTTAATTAACAGATCATAATTAGTAGCACCATGGAACAGTGAAGACCAGATGTGAAGTGAACCTTAGATGAACACAAATATTTTTTTTGCAAGCCTGTCCTCTTATGAGTACATTCTCATTTAAAAGGGA